TTTCATGCAGAGGTGCAAGCATTTTGAAATTGGTGGGGACAAGAAAGGAAAGGGAACCTCACTTTTCTAGATTGCCTCTGAAGTCACCCAGAACTTCCTTTTTTGCCTTCTCCTATGTTGCACTGTTGAATTTTAGTTATTTTGGATGTTGGTTCTTTTGTGTTACATTGTCTTTCCAATAGAGATGATTTTGTGTTATGAAATAGTTATATGGAGATCCTATCTATATTCTAGTTTTTTGGTAGAGTATGTTTAATGTTTTAGTAATTGAGTTTTAAGTCATTGGGATGCAGGTCAAATGTTTTAGTTTATATAATAGCAATGTCCCTTTAAGAATTGCACACTTTGAATGCATGGTAGTTTGGTTGAAATCCTACCGATAAGTCAAAATGCATTATAGTGTTGGACTCACTCAACCTGATAGACGTTGGGATATATCATGCGTAAATCATGTGCATTAGACAAAATGAGACTGCAAAGTTGAATGCTAATTATTGTGGTGAAATCCTAGTTAAGAGTTTAACGATCTTTGGTCTTTGTTGGCCTTATTGCTAGCTTTTGTTATTGAAGGTTTCTACTCTCTTGCATCTCTCAGTTTGGTTTTCTCTTGGCTCTATGAACGTACTATATAGATATTGCTCCTTTCTGTTATTCAAAGAGAGAGTTAATTGTTGTCTCCGTGTGTATCTAGTTTGTTTTTTCAGTTGAAAAACCCATTAAGATGCTGTGTAGTCTATCAAAGACATCAAATCCTACGCAGAAGTGTAACGTTTCCTGCTGCGTGAAATATTCAGACTACTTTTGAACATTGTTTGTGTATAAACATCAGTTCACTATTCGCCCCATTTTTTTTTTTTAAGATTTCTCATTCTCACAAACCAAAGTCAACGAGAGTACAAAGAATGTAAAAAAATAATATCAGAAGCGTTTTACCAATTTCTATTTCTACTTGTTTTTGTTGTTCTGATAAGGTCTCTAATTTTTACTTAGATAATAGTTTTCAGGCAAAAATTCTCCGTTGATATTATTAATCGATATTATGAAATAACTTGTATATATGTAAGAAGTTCCATTTACAAAACCAAAGAAGCTAGCAAGGCCTCTTTTTAAAGAGAATGTGATTGTAAGCTTATCTTTTTTTTTTGGTTGGTGTCCAGTATTCACATTGAAGTCCGACTAAATTTGGATTCGTGTCGGGAAGTCTCACATTGGAGGTAAAGCACTCCCTAACAAAGGCAATTCCGTACCCAAGGGTGCTCGAATCCGAGACCTCTTGGTTAAGGATGAAGGAGTACTTACTGCTCCACCACAACCCTTGTTTGTGTGTAAGCTTATCTTTGAGATTTTAAAAAAATGAAGATACATTCTTTCTTCCATTTGTTTTTTACTCCTACTAAAATGGGCGGGTTGTAATCCAATCAGCTTCAACCCGTTTTCAATATGTCCAAACCTGATCCAACTCGCCCATTTGCCAGTACTAGGCCAAGATAACAAAGTTTCTCTGATGGTCTTTCATTTTAAGAACTCTCTAGTCAATAATAGCTGCAAGGAACAAATTAGTTAGAAATGCTCAATATATCTGTTCTGTTTTGTCATTCTTTTGGTATTTCTCTGTAAGAAGAAGTCAGCAAGTAAGTATTTAGTTTGTCTTGTAAAATTAGTTATAATCTATTTAAGTCCTGTCATTTTCCTAAAACTTGAGTAGCTTAATTTGGACCAGAGTGGGGTGCATCTTCAGTAACTTGAAATGAGAGGTTTGTCTCTCGAAATCTTTTTGTGCTTTTCCTCTTTCTGAATTTAAGAATAAGTAGCATAGAAACAGTTGATACATTCTTTTGTAGTACAAAAACAATAACATGAACTCAGCGGGTGAATCTAGGATTTGAAAGTAGTAGAGACACTATTGATTCGTGGGCGCTTTATGGGTATTGACGTAAGTAGGCATAGGTCAAGGCAAGACGTATTCCCACCTTTCTTCACTTTGCAATAGCTTGATCACATAGACGTGCGTGAATGAAAATATATACCTCAAATTTAAGATATATACATACACATTAAAAGATTGTTTACTTTCATTTGAAATTTAACACTTGTAAATATTTTTAATTATTTAAATTTAAACTTAGAAATGGATTGATTTAGTGGGATATAGTTTCAATTATCACTTTGTGACTAGATTACAAGTTCGTATTCCGACAAAAAATCACTCTTTATTTTAAATAGAGAAATGCTCTGTAATTGAAGTAATCATTAGTAGACAAAGATTGCTTTAAAATAGTAAAAAACATAGTTGACATTTAGCTATATTACATATTTTCTCTAGTTTTTTTTGGTTAATATGTCTTATCTGTTGTTACTTTGGATCAATCATAATTTGTAATTTAGTACTCTATCATGAGAAAATCTGAATCTTTTTTTTTTAAAAGGACGCGATAGCCCATTGACCCACTTAATTACGGAACTAATTTCCTCCATTTGGAAGTTAATCATTGAGATTAAATTACGTTTCAACTACTAATGAGTTTCCTTTTATTATTTATCTTGAGATGGGGGCCGGTCGGAGCCCGGTCGAGGGCATCTTCGACCTGTTTATAAATGGCTAAAATTATATTTTATGTATATATAGTAATTGTTGAACTTTCTTCAACTTTTTTATGTGTTTACTTAGTCATATTTTGAACACTTTTGTTAAAATTCTTGCTCCATCGTTGGATGGGGTAATGTGTAAGTTTTCTTTAAGCTGCAACTTAATGCATGCATGTGCAAGCTCTTGATGCACTCTAATAACAAGTTAACAACATGACTCCATAAATAACATAACATATACGAAGACCTTATTTCTATCTTGGTGGTTGTTTTCGAAAGGCAATTGTTCTAATAATCATATAATAACAATTACCTCCAAATTTATTGGAAAAAATGAAAATTATGAAGGAAGAAAAGATAAACTATAGTGGGAATATAGACTTTGAACTTTGCTTGAGAATCAAGCTTCAAGCCCCAAAACAAAGGGGACTAAATAGAGGTATTTTATTGGGCTATAAAGTGGGCCCTTCACCGACAAGAGTCCAAAAAATACCTTAAACATAGGGCTTAAAGAGTAAAGTCTACGTATTTGGGCCTGATAGCGTGTACGCAATCCATGTGACTAATTAACAATATGGGCTTAGGAGTGTGGGCCCATATAGGCCCTACCTGATTTGTCCTAATTTTCTCAACCTCCTCATTTCTTATGATTGAAATTTGAAACATCATATCATGCTCTTTCCTTATTTGTCTTATTTTTCACCATTCCCCACCATAAGCAATCGCAGAATCAGGAATTTCACGAAGGATGTCTAAAAAAAGGGAAAAAAAAGTTGTTACTAATGAGATTTGAACACATGAACACTTAGAGCTCTTTCAAGGCATCTAAAACAACTAGACTACAACACCTTGTTTTATCCAAAGTGTCCAAAATATATTATTTAATCACTTCATATATCATTTTACTTATATATACGATATTGTTTTCTGATGAAGGGTGTCCCTCACTATAGGGTAGCTACGCCCATGACAATAAGATCTTGATATTTTTAGACCAGGTATTGTATGACCTGACCATCTCATCTTAACGATTAAAATACTTGAGGGTACTCACTTTTAGTTACTTCATTATACTTTTTAACATGTCCCCAATTGCGATCAAAATATGATACAAATAAATGTTTTTTTTTTTGAGATTTATATATATGATATGTTATAATGTTAAATTATTTGACTGTCTAATTTCAAATTTCAAAATTCAAAATGAGGTAATCACACGTTTCAATATTAAGACCTCCAATTTTATAATGGTAGCACATTATTCCTTGAAAAATTCTCTTTTAATTTTAAAAGAAGAACTCAAATGGAATCTATCAATTGGGAATACAAGATTGAAAGTTTAAGCAAATAACCCAATTATTGGACTGATGGGAATAATCACTTCAGATACTTTTAAAAAATATGTATATTATTATAAAAAAAAAAACTAGTGAACATTGTTCTTAAGAGACAGCCTAGTGGTCAATAAAGTGGTTGAAACCCATAAAGTCTCAGGTTCAAATCCATGGATAAGAGTTGATGCATGTTGCTACCTAATGCAATTTCCGATAAAATTAGTTGATGTACGTGAAAGTTGTCTGAACACCACAATCATAAAAAACAATAAAAATACAAGCGAAGATGACAAATCTGAAGTTTTACAATGATATAATTCCAAAAACTTTATAAAGAACATTATGTATTTCTTTATTGGAAGCTTACAAACCTATTTTAGCATATACTTTTTTTTTTTTTTTGTGTTAAAAGAAGAATCAACTATCAATCCAACAAAAACTTTCCTTTCACCAAGACAGGTGGGTACCCCCCCCTCCC